ATTTGCTATAGGTTCTCCAGTAAATAGTGTCAGATACATTTAATAACATTGTTGTCATTAAATTAATTTAGTTTGAAACTAACTAATATACAACTTATTAAATATGCCAGCGACTTTTGTTTGCAACAGTTACGAAATGTGACTTATTCCCCTTAAGGAATTGTTTAGGAATATTTACTTTACTGAGCACGAGTCTCAGATATTCATTTATATGATTGATGGACCATTTAGAACCAGTGGTATGTTGGGACGGTAATCTTATCCCACAGTTAAGTACTGTTTAATAGATTCTTACACATTGGTCAGCGCTTCTTATTTGCAGCTAAGAGGAAATCCTCCAGCAGTCAAGAGTTTTGAACCATGAAACCACCTTGCCAGAGACGGGCAGGCACCTAATGGCTGACGAGGCATGACCTTAGAGTGACCTGCCCTAACGCACTTGCTCATTTTTAATCTCTAAAATATATGAGCAATTCCCTTTCCTTCATTTATTACACATGCTGATTTCATCTCTTAAATTATTCATTTCTAGGGCAGTGTTTTAAAGTTGTTTTTATTTATTTTGTTAATTTTGCTATTATTTTAAAAAATGTTTGAGTTCTTATTTATATTTTAAAAGCAGATTTAGGCAATGATTAAACTGTGTTCTCAAAGGGAAACTCATTTTTTAAGACTCATTCCAACTGATATTATAATTGTTTATTCACTATGCTTTGTGGACTTACTATGTACTAAAATTAAATACACTGATCTCTGATTAGCGACTACTTCCATATTAATTTGGATGCTATAAGTTAAAATGACAGTATGGTCAAAGTTGACTCATTCGTATTTCAAATCATTTAAAATGAACTATCATTTTAGTTAAAAATTTGTGTAGCATAATGTTTCCAGCTCTTTCATGCCCAACATTGTGTAAATGGGACACTTTTTTCTTCTTTTTTTCGCTTCTTTCCCATGGAGGATCCTGTGGAGAGATATTGAAGAGGACTTCCTAGTTCAGTTCTTTTTCCCCTCTGTTCTTATCGGATGTAGGCAGAGTTTAGCTCTCCGTTTCAGTTCAATAGTCATTTGCTGAATGCCTACTGTGCAGATGGCAATGGCTTAGGGTGCTGAGACAGTGAGACAAGTTTCCTGTTCACAGGGCGCCAATTGAGTTAGAGTATACCTTATAGGACCATTAAAGGTTTTCCTTTATTCTTTCATATTTGAAGTGCTGTTTTAAAGTGAACTGTAGATGACTTTGTATTTACAAGCTTGAAAAGATTAACTTTGCGGATGTAGGATTTGCTTAAAACAGTCTGTCAACTGAAAATTAGGCAGCTCTGTTTTTTATCAAATGAACTATGAATAAATTTTAATAAATAATCTGTTTACTAACTTTAGGAGTTTCTTGGGAATATGTTATCTGGTTTTGAATATATATTTACATGTCAGTTCTAAGATTCTAAACCAAATACCTTATAATTTCATGTGTCAATTATCTCTAAATAACATACATCAGACTGGTGCACAATTTGATAAGGGAATTCTAAAGATTCATATGGGTAACCAGTAAAAAGCTTGTATTAAAATTCAGGTGTTCTGCTTCTCAGAAATTAGTTTTCAGTTGGTCATGGCTGAAAATAATCATAAAAAATAACTCAAAATATTATATACTTTGAGTAGTTAAATGGATTGATTGAAATATTATAGACACTAAAATAGTTAGTTTATCATCAAAATTCCAGACACAAAACGTTTTGATAATATCACTGTAGATATCTTTTAAGGCACTTGACATACATACTGAATGATCTCATTCAGTCCTCATGATAATCCAAAGATGGAAACAAATGAAGAATTATTCACCAGAAACCTGACCTCACATAGGTGTCTACAAGCAGGTCCTTTCATTTCAGCCAATGCTTTTAGCCTTGTTCTGTTCAAAGAGTTTAAATATGAAAGTTTTATATTTGTTCATTTTAAATAATTCAGTTTGATCATATTTTCCACAAAATAGTCTGCCCAAAAGAAAATTAAATTCCTTTTGTCAGGATTCTTTGAAAATTGTAAACTCTATCTTTATTACTATGACCTGTGTTAGGAGAAATGAACTTAAACACAGGATAGATAACAAGTTTTAGCCATGTAGTATCATTACAGAAACTACAGGAAAATGTAGGTAATTTTAAAATATAGGAGATATATATAATATATAAATACATATGGTATATATAAAGGCCCCTTTGTTTTATAAATATGTACAATGAAATTGAAGCTTTACCATCCTAACCATTTTTTCTACTTGACCATATGTACACACTTTTTAAAAATTTGGGTTTTATTGTGTGTGTGTGTATATATATATATATAACTGTATACATATATACATGTATATATATATATACATTTATACATACATATATATACATGTATATATATAGTTGCAGACATACCTTTCACCTAAGTTAACAGATTGTAAATCTATAAAACAATATCACAACTAGGAAATTGACACTGATAAAATCCGTTAATCTTATTTAGCTTTCACCAATGTTTCATATTCTCATGTGTATACATACATGTGTATGCCTAAGTATGCCTGTGCACATGTACACAGGTGACTGTATTGAGTTTTTGACAATGTTATTTATGTGTAGGTTCACATATTTGTTGCCACAGTCAACACACAATGCATATCCATCAAAACAATTAACACTTATGCTATCCTTCTAGAACTACACCCATGTTCCTCCTTTCTCCTCTATTCTCTGCTGTCCCCAATCCTTGGAAACCAATCATCTATGTTCTATGTTCATAATTTTCAATTTCAAAACATATATAAATGTATTCCATCATAATTTCTATAGAGAGCTTTTGAGAGCATGACTTTTTATTAATTTCTAGTGGTTTGGTATTGTAATATACATACGTGACATCACAATCTACTAGTAGCAACAATTTACCATATCAAGAAGTTTTTAAAATGTGCTTTTGCTAGGTCTGTTTGCCCTGTATGGTCTTAAATATTCTTTTAATATATTTATATATATTGTTGAACACTACCTCAATTGATGTTATAATTTCTGTTTCAATCACAATAAAATTTAGAAAACTCAGGAGAGGTATAATCTATTAACCTATGTTTTTGTGACATCGGTTCTGCCTTCTTTTTAAAAATTATGTATTTACTTATTTGAGAGTCAGAGAGACTGTTAGAGAGAGCTACTCACAACTGGTTTATTTCTCAAATGCCTGCAAATGCTCCAGGCCTGGCAAAGGGCTGAAACAAGCAGTGAGAAACTCAATCCAGGTCTCCTACATTGGAAATCTTATGAGTTTGTGGGTAGTGGGAACCAAATCATTTGAGTTATGGCTCTTGCTTCCCAGAGTCTGCAGTGGCAGGAAGCTGGAGTTAGGATGAGAACATCAAACTCCAATTTGTGACAGCATTGTCTTAACTAGAATTTTAACCAGTAGGCCAAACACTTATCTTTTTTTTTTTCTTCCTTCTTTCTTTCATTTTCCTTTCACAAAAGTCCAATATCCAAATTGATTGTTTTTGTCATTTACTATTTTTCTGGTATTTTGTATAACCAGTAACTTTTTTGAAATATCCTGGATATTTTGGCTATTATGTTAGGTGACTCTGGATCTTGTTAAATTTTCCATTCTATTTTAGGAGACAGGTACCCTGACCTGGTGCTTAGTAACACAAGTCCTGACTTACAATACAGGGGCTGTTATTCTCACAATTTAATTTAGAGACTCTACGGTGCTATTTGGTCAATATGATTGTTTTAATGTCCCTGGATCTCTATTGATGTCCTCTAAGGAGGCACCTGGGACACATCCTCAGGCCAGGCTGTTTGTTGGTCAATGTAGGATATTGGGTTCTCTAACTCGTGAGAACATCACTTCTGGGGCCGGGATTTGTAAAGGGATCCTTCAAATCCCTCAATGGCAACTCTTCATGGTCACTAGTGGGGGAAGGGGAGTCTCAGGGCTGATGGGGAAAGATATCACTTCTCTTAACTGTTGATTATTGGTAAGCCTCACACTTGATTCCCCTAGCAGGTCAGCCAGTCTCTATTGCTATTTCTGGGAACATTCCCATTTGAACAACAAGAAAACAGGAAGCTATCTGTCGCTAGCTTGTGGTTGGCGGAAGTGGTGCCTGGGTCATCTTTTACTATTGGTTGAAGAGCCAGAGTATTGATCCTTGGGTCCTGGTATTCCTAACCTGGCCTTTTTCCTCTTTCACCCTTTCAGAATACTCCTTTGGTTGCCTCTTGCTTAATTCTAGATTTTATAGCTATACTTTTTGGAACACATGATGATAGCTAAACTGGTTTCGTTTTTCCCCCAAAATGAGTGAAGAGAAAAATAATTAGATGAGATACTAACAGAGCTCCTGTGAAAATAAGTTCCATGGTGGAAAAAGTGACTTGAACCAGGGGATAGAGTAACATAGTGTACAGTAGAGGTGGAGTGAATTTAAGCACCAGGTAGCTTCAGGTGCTTTTTTAGCAAAATGTCAACTCAGGTTTAAATAAAGTTCAACAAGCAATTCTAGAGCAGAGAGCTTTACATATGCCACTATTCTTTGTGATGTCTTGAATGGCCTGCAGCAGCCATTGTGACCCAAAGTTATCTGTTCATCGAAATGATCCATTTTGTTTATAGTTTTCTTGACATTGGCATTCTATGAAAGACACTGTGGAGGAAAGCCATTTCTATCACCAACAGCATCTACCTCATTCAAAACACTGTACTAGATGCAATCATTTAATTAAAAAGTTATTTCAGAGAAAAAATGAGTACTTAATTCTACTTTGATCTTAAAAATCTGATAAAATATTCCAATACTTAAACCTTCCTTTAAACTCTTTTAGGAACTAAGATTTAGATGTATGGGCAAAGTGTAGGTTTATTATATTGCATTAAAGATATGTAGTCTAAAAGTACTCCCTGTTTATCATATTGCTATTCACATTTTCAATATTTTTTCTGTGCAGCTCTAAGGGACAATAGGATCGAGCTGGTTCGCGCTTCCTGGCATGAATTGAGCATCAGCGTCAGTGATGTGTCTCTCTCGGATGAAGGGCAGTACACCTGCTCCTTATTTACAATGCCTGTCAAAACTTCCAAGGCCTATCTCACCGTTCTGGGTAAGTGCAAAGGACTAATGCTGCATACTCACGAAACCAGAGACATGCATAGGAAGACAGCAGCATGCTTAATAAAAAATAGACTTTGGAGATCATACTAACAGATATACTTTAATTCCTTCTCTGCTACATTATAACAAAAGGCATTTAAAAATCATTTGGTCACTTTCCCCCTTTTATAAGTGGGCAAAGGGTAGTTTGAAGATTTATATGACAGCTGGAGGCACAAGCTGCCATCTTGTTTCTTAACCAGTAATAGAGAACAATTTTTTTGATTTCTGACTAATTTTTGGCTGACATAAAAAATTTGTTGACACAAAACATGATCCATATATTTTGTGCATCCACATCCTTTAATAAAATGACATAATATTGCGTTCAACTTGCATGTGTAGTGTGCTTTTCTTTTGTGATGTTAACATGCCTAATGGAGGCTTTTCCTAAAAATGTTAAAATATGCCCCTTGGTTGTATTTTGGTGCTTTTAAATGGCCAGGACATTTTCCTGTGTGCTTTTTTTCCTTCGAAATACATATTTTCTAGAATCCTAAATGAAGTACATACTGTCACTTGTGCCTGCAGCTTGTAGTTTCTTTGTGCTTTATTCTCTAAGTATTGGGCCATTTTCCCAAAGGTTAAAGTGACACAAAAAAGCAGTACATTCATAAGAGATTCGGAGGAAATAAAGTTGCAGTTTGGAACTCTCTGTGATTCCACAGACGTCAGGGCCCCAATCAGCTGAAATTGCTGCAGTTCATTGAAACACACCTGTGCACTGAACAAGTTAAAGGAATTTAAAGATTGATTTTTCCGCCCCTCACTTACCTTCCTTTTTAGATAGATAAAAGCAGACTGTTGCATTTAAAAGAAGTAATACATGCTGTTCTTTTAGGTGAGAATTTTAAAGTTAATCCAGCTAGAGAATTGGTTTTGTGCATAGGATATAAAATATGTTTCTTTGCAAGTCTCACTGGGACTATTTTATAAAAATCTTCACAAGTTTGCCATTAAGGACAAAATACACCCACTGAAAGGGAGTATTTCAAGGATAACAATGGCCTAAGTTTAACATATTGTTCTGTGGAAAGCCAAAGAACAGAAGACTGTTGAATTTGGTTTATTAAATGGTTGTGTGACACAGATTTTTTTTTAAATGAAAGAAAGCAACATGAAGGTGAAGCCAGGAAAAGGAGGGAGAGAGAGAGAGAGGAATAAAAACACAACCCAACAGCTAGCCACTTAATGGGAGTATACCATTCTGTCAGTTATTTTTGCCATCCTTGTTGTAGATTTCATTTGTAGTTCTTGAGCTGAATTAAATAGTACAATAAAGAAGACTTCAGTCTCCATTTATTACTGAATATTTTGGAAGAAATTTCAGTAAACTTCTAACAGGAAAACTGAATATTATCATTCAGGAAATATATATACTATTGTAGTATGAAATCACCCACTATCTATCTATATATTTAATAGTGATCTGCCTATTCAATGGATGAGTCTTAAAAAAGTAGTAGTGTTTAGCATTAAAAAACTATATATAATAAATCACAAATTTACACCTGCATTTCTCCTTTTTAAAAACAAAAATGTATTTATGTATTTGAAAGGCAGAGTTACAGAAAAAGAGAGAGGAAATACAAAGGGAGAAAGAGATGTGCTATCCACTAGTTCACACCCCAAAATGGTTGCAACAGCTGGGGCTGGACAATTTTGAAGCTAGGAACCTGGATCTCTCTCCAGGTCTCCCACATGGGTCACAACAGCACAAGTATTTGGGCCGTCTTCTACTTTCTCAGGCACATTACCAGGGAGCTTGATTGGAAAGGCAGCAACTAAGACTTGAACTGTTGCTCATATGGGATGCTGGCGTAGCAGGCAGAAGCTTAACCAACTGAGCCACAGTGCTGATCCCTACAACTGTATTTCTTTTCTTCTTTCTTTTTTTTTAAAGCACAAAGACCCTAGTTTAGTGGGAATACATACAATGGGTATAAACAATAATTGAATGGAAAAAAATGACCATTTACTCATCAACAGTAAATTTTAATGTAATCACAGGTCATTAAAACTATACTAATAAAACATTCTTAATCATTGGCTTGACAAATGTATAAAACAAAGTTTACAAAACCATATTTTCATCAGTAATGATACACACAGGTATTTTTTTAATTTTTTTTCAATTCTTATGTGGACAACATCAAGAAACACTCTACTTTAGAAAAATCAAAAGGTCAGTTACAGTTGCAATTAATCATGAATCTTTTATTCTAAAGTTCATTTTTTGATCAAAGTACATAGAGGATAATAATAATAATACCTTTTAAGGTTTAAGATTTGTGAAATCAAAAGAAGTGCTTTGCTTAAGTTAAATCATAATTCAATAAGGAAAAGGATTTTTGTGACTTTATTTTCTCTCATCCAATTTCCTTTATTAAATTCCTATACTGATAAATCCTAAAACATATTGAATAGTTGTTTTAAAAATGTACAGAATATATTTGCAGGTAAAATTTTATAATTTAATTTTTAAAACCACTTTGAAATATGTGCACTTTAAATGCTCTTTGGGTAGCATATATGAGTACACATGGATTTCCAAAAATTTGAGCAGCAAAATGAGCTTATTATTCCATTTGTCAAAAACTTTTAGAAGTTCTTTCATATGTATATGCATTTGTATACATATGTAAATGTTTGCATGGTATTCATGGTGTATGTTACACACAGATATGCACAGCACACAGATATCTGAAGCAGTTCATTTTATTATATAAAAATTTGTTTTTCTTTATTGAACATTGTCAGCTACCTACTGTTTTTGCTTCATGTGTGAAAGTAATAGTCATGAAACCTGATTGTCCCTGGGAATTGATCTTTGCTTCATTTATTTGCTCAAATTTCAGGTGTTCCTGAGAAGCCTCAAATTAGTGGATTTTCATCACCTGTGATGGAGGGAGACTTGATGCAACTGACTTGTAAAACATCCGGCAGTAAACCTGCAGCTGATATAAGATGGTTCAAAAATGACAAAGAGATTAAAGGTAAAGAATGGGCGAAATTTCCTAACTCAGAAGTAATGTGCCCAAACTAGTATAATATGTTAGGAACAAAGGTATTTTCCATTTGAAGACCATAGCATTGCTTTCCGATTCAGTATAAGTTGAATTGTATGTACTCATTTCTTAGGTTATTTGATAAGGTTTCTTAATTACATTAATATAATCTCTGTATGCTTCATTGTCTTCTTGCATAAAAAAAAGTCTGAAAATAATGTGTAAGCCATGGGAAAGTTGAGGCAATAAATGAGCTTGTAAAGGAAAACATGTAGACTCATGCTTGACAATATTAAACCTTAAGTACCAGTTCAATATTGTTATTTTATGTTTAGAGAGAGCAACTGAATGAATTATTCCTTCAAGCTGTTGGTTTCTGGAGTTACGGAGTTCTGAGGACAAAGCTGGGTAAACATCAATACATCCGACTCCTAGTATTTTTCACAGAAGAAAGAAGAATTAACTCCTCTCAATAAAAATTCATAGTAATTTAAATATCCAGACCCATACACCTAAACTTGAGTACATTCTCTCTCTCCCTCTCTGTATCTCTTTCTCTCTCTCTCTGTATTTCTCACACACACACACACACACATACACCCTCATGAACATATATTCACTTGTTTAGGGAGAATATAAAGTTATTATTTTCTTTATCTTACTTCATATACAGATATCTTGGATCTGATATCACACATATATTCATATCTAAGTATAAGAGTTATTTATGATGATTGTTCAAACATGTTTCTTATGACATAGTAGTATGTATTATTCTCAAATTAATCTAAGAAGCAGAGTTATTCAAATCATTCTCTTTAAATTTGTAATTTTAATTCATTATATCAGATTAACTAATCCTTAATAACAATTATGCAGGCTCAGTAGATAGAATTGCTTACATAACTGAGAAACTATAGGGTTATAATCCATGCAATTGTTTGGTTTATTTTCTATTTTATTCTAATATGTATCTAAAATTTAATGCTAATCATTATCTTTGTCTTATAACTTGTAATACATTTATCTTCTAGTTCTAAGTTTTGAGAAATATAAAACCCAAGCACAAGTTGAGCATATTAGTATTCTAAACTGAATTTTCAGGTTACTACAAGTGTGGAACGTGATTCTTGTGTCTTGCTGGGACTCCTAATTCTGTCTCTAGGAAGCATTTGTTTAGATGTTTCTGGACTTGGTTAGATCATTCCTAGATGGATCCTCTACACTGCTTCCAGAATTATCTTACTGCAAGAATCTAGACTTTTTCTGTTAAGCATTTATGATTGAAAATATACTGAACTCTAGGAAAAGCTTAAATCCACTTTCTGTAGAATATACAAATTCTTCAGACAGTGAAGTCTTAACACTTTGTGTATGTCCCTTTTGTATGAAGATCTTGATTTAATCCAGAAATGCATTTATTAAACATCTCCCTTCAATAAATTTTTTATTACCTACAAGCACCTTTTCATTAACTATGATATAATTAGTTAATTACGAAGTTAGTTCTCAATTTCTTAGCATTTTATTTGTGCTTCAAGAGTTTATCTCTCTTGTACTTCAGGGAGATCACAGACTCTAACATATCAAGTACTTAGTTAGTACTGATTGATTGTTTTTAACTTTGTAGCCTCATGAGAAACTCGTGATTGTACTCAAAATTTTATAGAAGGACTTAATTCTTGAAAAGTTTGGTCTGTATTCTAAATGCCTGTGCTTTTGACAAATTTGGCCTTAGATTTGATCAATGTACTGAGGGCTGAGAGAGAGGGATGATATTTATTTGTATGTAACCACAGGAAAAGTTTGACTTTGCTAGCATACTTTAAAATCATCTGAATCAAAATCAGAAGAAAAATCAAGAGAAAAGCATATGTAGCACTGGCATATGTCTGTGTGCTGTATTCAGAAGTTATGAGGCCTTCAATGCCTGATCATTTATAGAGCATTTATTATTGTTCGCTTATTATCCTTACACTTGCAATCATCGACATAGCTTTCAATTCATTTAGAACTCATTTGAAGGTCCACACTTTGTTTTCTTAACCAGAAGGTGAACTTTCTGAGTGATATAAACATTATTTATGTAAGTGTATTTGTGAATAAAATGAGTGCTGCCATCTGCCCAGAGTGGACATTTGTTATGTTGCTATCTTGTGAATAAGCTGAATGACTTGTTACCTACATTCCCGTTGGCAAACAATTCTGCTGAAAGGAGTTCTCCATCTCTGTCCTGAATTATCTGCCTTTTTTCAGAGATGAAAATTTGACTCCTTATCACCATTTAACTGATCTTAATACAATAATATCTAAGTCTTAAAAAAGACAATCCCTAGTGTATAACAAATGGAAAAGATGGGCTCATAGAATCCAATCCAATAAGAAACTATTAAAATGACTCTCAGCGTGAACAATATTCCACGGTTCTTGAGCAAAGCTCCAAATGAGGAAACAAAGAACATTTTTCTAGAAATTTTTAATATGTTTTGGGGATTATAGAACACGGAGAGGGACTGGAATTGTAGCATAGATGGCTAAGCCACTGCTTATAACACCAGCAGAGCAAGAGTGTAGGTTTGAGTCTCGGCTGCTTCACTTTCAATTCAGCTCCCTACTTTTTTTTTTTGTAACTTTTATTTAATGAATATAAATTTCCAAAGTACAACTTTTGGATTATAGCAGCTTTTCCCCCCCGTAACCTCCCTCCCATGTGCAACCATCCCATCTCCACCCCCTCTCCCATCCCATTCTTCATCAATGTGCAAGAGATGGCGGCAGACAGCCGGAGCACCTGCATCCTTGTCATCCACGTGGGAGACCCAGATGAAATTCTGGGCCCCTGCCTTTGCTGTAGCCATTTGGAGAGCAAGCCAGAAAATGTGAGCTCTTTCTCTCTGTGTCCTCCCTCAGCCCTATGTCACTCTGCTTTTCATATAAATGAGTAAGTCTTAAAGCAAGCAAACATGAGGAGTGTTTTCCCATAAGGAGGACTTTGTGCACAAGTCTTCAACTTTTCTCTCTCACTACCTAATATATGAATTACGGTTCCATGTTTCTATGTGAAAGTTGCTTGAAAGTACTGCTTGCTGATGTTTTCGTGGCCAGAGTATTTCCATACTGGATTATAGAGCAGTGGTCCCCAAATATTAGCCAAATCATTCTCATATGTAGTGCTTATGGAAACACAGATTATATATAAAGTTCAGACCCCAGATCTTCTTTTTGAGTAGATCTGGAGTGGAGCCTGAGAATGTACATTTTTAACATAGTAAGTATGTGAGCAATACCAGTGTTCCTGTTTGGAATCACATTTGGATAAGGAGTACAAAATGAGCATTATCAGCAATCTATATAGACATACTTCCTCCGTCTTTGAGTTTTATTTTTTCTCATCTGCTACCTGAGGACAACAATGCTTGCTTCACAGTGCTATTATAACAATTCTGTATGAGCCAATATGTACAAAGTGTTTTCAGATTACAAGGAATGACTGAATACATTTTAGATATTATTGTTATCATTATTAACCCTACAGTAACAATCCCTGAATTAGTTTTAGAAATACAACTAAAACTAAAACACACCTGTTGAAGCATTTACCATTTGGAGATGGTCATGTAAACATAAGGGTCTGAGATCTAACAGGTGCAGATATGTTGACTATAGTTTCTTTCAGAAAGAGGGAGACATCAGCCCTACTTTATGGGAGAGGTGAAGGCACAGCTGTTCACTAATGGAAGTAGGCACTCTGTAAAATATCTGTTTAATGAGTATATGGGTCTTAAATAATAGGTGAAATTCATCACAGGAGTTGAGGATAAAAGTAAGTGACAGGGCATTATGAAGAAATAAACTTCAGGAATATATGCCAAGTAATGGCATGTGATTGTTTGAAATAAGTGTGAAACTTTACAAAACTTTACAAAAGGTGAACAAGATGTAAGGGTATAGACATCATAGAAGATCTGTGACATCTTATAATCACCAGAGTAAGAGGTTTGGAATTCATTCTGTAGACAGTGGTGAGAGATGTTTCTTTCTATAAGCTTTGAATAGTAGAATGAAACACCCATAATTCCATCATTATTTTTATTTCCCATCTATGAGTCTGACTGAAATCCCCTTGATGCCACTGGGAAATGCTGCATCCAAACCTCAGATGGTTTCAATAAGCCTTCAGCCTTCTATGTGGCAAGGAAGCCTGTATGTCTGCCATTTAACGTGACAGAAGATGTACATCATCCTCCTAAGTCCATCAGCTCCCTGAGAGTTCACACGTACATATTTGAGTTTTCATCTGTTGCCTGAGCATTTGCTATTACAAAAAAAAAAAAAAAAAAACAACATTTTCTTTTCAGCTAGCTTTTTTTCACATTAATATGTTAGGCAGAATTTGATGATAGCCCTCAGTGGCTCACAAACACCCACATACAAATCTTTCCCTCTGTGCATAGGAGGGAATTTTGAATATGATATGATATCACTGCGTTGAAAATATAACCTATTTTAGAAAAGATTTGCAGATACAACTATCTGTCCCTTTTGGGTTCATCAACAGGAAATTATCAAGCATGGGCCATCAAAGGTAAATTATCAAGCATGGCCCACGCATAATGAAGTGAAGTCGCAAAAAGAAGTGTCAGAGCCATATTCCTCTCTTGGTCTGGAAGAAAACAACCACCTATAGTGTGAATTGTTTATAGGATTTATGTGGCAAGAACATTGAGTGAGCACTAGAAGCTAATAATAGTCCTGAGTGATAGCTATTGAGAAAACCAGGACCTCAGACATAAAGCTTCAAGAAAATGAGTTTTCCAACAACCAGTGTAGAGAGGACTGTAAAACTCAGATGGGAACTGTAGCCACACTCAGCATCTTGATTTAGCCCAGTGACACTGAGCAGAGATCAGCCTAAGCTTGACCTGGATTCCTAATTCACAGACACAACAAGTTGATAAAGGTGAATTTTTACACTGCAGTTACAGAAA